AAGCAAGCAATCCCATCCAGCAACCTATTCTGCAGAAAAAGAACAGGCAAACAGAAGGCGCAATCCCTCATTTTTTGCTATGCTCTTCTCATTCTTGAGTTGTTTCTTTACCTGACAGTCTTCCCCTAAGATTTCCTCTATCCTTTCTTGCAAATGCCTTATGACTACTTTGTAGGATGACCTCCTGAGGGAGGGAGAGTCGTGTTCATGTAGTTTGATCATCTGTAGTGTCTTCTTTGCAAGTGACTTGATCTTTGTTCTCAGGAGCATTATTCCTGCCTTCACATGGTGGTCCCCCCGAGGAAGGGACTTTCACTTCCAGCTCTGCATCTGGTTTGAACATCTGCAGTGGCTTGCCATCAGGAGATGCTTAGCAGCCCCACATCACTCAATGATGTGTATTCTGTCTCCCCAGGGTACAGGGACAAGGAAGATGATGCCATTCCCACACAGAGCCCTTTAGGAATACCTGGTACCATTTTTCACATGCAGTTAGTACTTGATCAGTATGTACTGAACTGACCTGAAATGAAAGAGAAGACAACCTTCCTTTTCTAACTACAGCATTCCTAGATACACTTCCCAGTATGGGAACGTGTAGGGAAGTGAGGGCAGATCCATGCTGGGTTGAGTCTGGACACCCAAGCTTTGACCATGCCTGTCTAGGTACCATTATTTCCTGTCAAGATGTTGGAGAGGGATTTTTTTTTTAATGGCTACAATAACACTTTGAGTTTAAAGCCTTCTACAGACTCAGGTGATAGCACTAAAGTATAATGAGCACTTAGCAAACCTGGGCTAGAGGTGTTATATTATCCCCTAAGTAAGCTGTAACATTTGTGTAATACTTTCTCACAGGTATGAATTAGGAGCTGCTCTGTTTATTGGATGGGCAGGAGCCTCGCTCTGCATAATTGGTGGTGTCATATTTTGCTTTTCAATCTCTGACAATAACAAGACACCCAGGTATGTAGAGACCAAAATGACTTTTAGAAAGTACTATACACTGTTAAGTCATTACCTGTGGGGGACATATTATGGCAGCATATGTGATTCTTAGAAACTTCAAAATCTCCAGAATTGGAAAAAGTGAGGAATGTACGTAAGCTGTTTCCACAATTACAAATATGAGCGTAAAACTGAGGGCATGCTCATCATGCCAACCTTATTCTAATTTCCAAATAGGCAAGAATTGTTCATGGAGGTTACCACTGGCTTCCAAGTTCCAGAAAGATGTGTATTTTTTTATCTATTTGAAAATACCATTTATGCAGGGATCTGGGGATTGAACTCAAAGTCTTACATCCTCGCTTAGCTTTTTTGCCAGAGGCTAGTGCTCTACCCCAGAACTAGACCTCAACCCCTTGATTAATTGGAGATAAGAGCTCACAGAGTTTTCTGCCCAGACTGACTTTGAACCTAGATCTTCAGATCTCAGCCTCCTGAGTAGCTAGGGTTACAGCTGGGAGCCATCAGCGCCAGGCAGGAAGAGGAGTCTTAAACACTAGTTTTGAAACATAACTGAACAAATGAGTGAGTTAAGAATTTCTTTAGGGCTGGGAAAGTGGCTCAGTGGTAGAGTGCTTGTCTTGCATGCATGAGGCCCTGGGTTTGATTCCTCAGCACCACATAAGCAAAAAGAAAAAAGCTAGAAGTGGTGCTGTGCCTCAAGTGGTAGAGTGCTGGCCTTGAGCTGAAGAGCTGAGGGACAGTGCCCAGGCCCAGAGTTCAGGCCCTATGACTGGACCCCCCCCCAAAAAAAAAGAATTTCTTCAGCAGAAATTCAGTCATGCAGTTCACTGGACAACTTTGAACTCTGTCTCAAAGTAGTGAGAGGAGAGAAGGATGCTAATAAGGAATTAGCTATTGACAGAAATAGGTAGAAATGGTTTTGCCTCGTTTTTGTTTGTTTTATGCATAGAACAGGATCTACCCCAAGCTGTGATGTTTTGCCTTTCAGAATGGGATACACGTACAACGGGCCCACATCTGTTATGTCTTCTCGGACTAAATATCAAGGTGGAGAAGGAGACCTTAAGCCCACAAATCCATCAAAACAGTTTGATAAAAATGCTTACGTCTAAGAGCTCTGCCGGCAAGCCGTATCTTGAGTTGTTATAAAAGTGAACAGTTCACAAAATGGTTCCATCAAGCCCCTTCTGTAATTAATCCTCAGACTATTTTTACAATATGAATTGGAAGAATTTGTTGATTGTCTGGATGTAAATGTTCTTATAGTTATGAACTAATCATTTTCTGTTGTGGCTTTCTATAAAAAATAAACAAGTTTATTTACAGGACTTCCATATTTTATATATTTAGAGAACAAGTAAAGCATTTAGTACCAGAGGTTCAAGCAGTATTCGTAATAGTACTATAGTCCTTGTGATCTTCTGTACATTGAGGTCTTTGACCCGTTCCTTGTTTCATTCATGTATTAAACAGAAGTGTAAACGGAATGTTGTTGTATAAGCAATGGGGGCAGTGTGTGAGTAGTTTTTAAAAGGCATTTATGTTAAACAGGCATGTTGTTAGCTGCTTCTGGTTTCTCATTCCCATTTGTCAGGGCTGCCATTCATTACAGTGGCTCAAGAGGAAGCGTTCATGACGCTCACCAGCAGAGCTGCCATTTATGTGGCACATCCACCTTAAAGAAGGAACCGAGTAGGTTCCTCTGACAGGAGTAGGGTCCACAGACAGCAGAGTATCCTCATCAGCTGAGATGGAGTTGCAGGTGGCCAATCAACAAAGTCTAGGAGCCACACGGTCTCCGCCTCCCTCACAATTGGGAAGTTGAGCTCCTGTCTCACACAGCAACTAACTGGTAATGGGAGCGACTCAGCACTTCCCAAGACTTGTTTCAGTGACTTCTGAACAAAATCACAGAGCATGAGATTGACAACCATTACCACCGAGCTTCTGTGCCCTTGGTAGTTACTTCTCAGTCACCATAAGCGTCCCATTCCTTCAGTGTCCTGCAGCTACAGAGAAGGAAATTAAAGCGAAGGGTTTAAGTAATTTGCCACCATAGTGGCTGAATCCCCAACCAAGGCTTTTGGCTGGAACAGCACAGGGTAAAAGAAGAGAGTTTCAAGCTATGGGTAAGAAATGGTACCAATATTGGGCTGGGAAGGTAGCTCAGTGGTAGAGCGCTTGCCTTGCATGAATGAGGCCCTGGGTTCCATTCCTCAGCACCACATAAGCAAAAAGAAAAAAAAGCCGGAAGTGGCACTGTGACTCAAGTGGTAGAGCGCTAGCCTTGAGCTGAAGAGCTGAGGGACAGCACCCAGGCCCAGAGTTCAGGCCCCACAACCAGACCCCCCCCAAAAAAAGAAATGGCACCAATGTTATCTGTAAGCAAGTGTTTGAAAGTGAGTTACCACGTGAGTGACAACATCACGTCTCTGAAGTGTCAGTGCTAAGAGGACACATCACACTAGAGATGCTCATGTCTTCACAAAGAATCAATGGAAAGAAAAGGAAGCAGACAAATGTGTTGAAAAAAATAAAACATGCCATATGCCACATTAATCCTTGAAATACCTGTCCCCGCTCCCTAGAAATACTAGATAATTATATGCAGAAGCTAAATCTAAAATGTACCAGGACATGATGAGTTGTATAGGACTCAAGGTATTCACACACAGTGAGACCAGAGGATATTCTTAGGAGAGGACCACAAAAGCACACAGCCCATGTGCCTCTGACCATACAGAATAATATTTATAGAAATATATTCCAGGGAATGGAAAAGAGTTGTTTTCCTTCATTGTTTTTCTTTTCTTTTTACCTTGTTTATCTGTCTTTGGAAGGGTAAGGTAGGGTGCAGAAATGGAGGGACAAAGGGTGAGCAAATGCACCAGTGGTACTCACTAGGAAATGAACTACACAACTCCTGGGTATGGACAGGAGAGAACAAGTGGGAGAGAGCAAGGAAATGTACTCATTACTTGACTTACCTAACTATAATCCCTCTGTACATCACCTTTATAAGAGTAAATTTCAACTAAGCATGTAAGAATGTAAGCATTTAGAGAGGTTAGGGGATGAAAGTTCAGAAAAGCTGTTAGTAATCAGAAACTGGTTAGCTGGGTTGGGGTTGAGGTAACATCCAAAGGAAAAGGAGCCAAATCTAGTTAATAACTATATAAATGATATGATTAGACCAGATGGGTTTCTTGGACATACAACTTAATAGTGGGTTTACCCAAAAGAAACACGGCAGACAGATTTGGACAGACCAGAGTGAATGTCTACTTTTGTCACATCCTAGTTGTGTGGCTTTAGGCAAGTTACTTAGTAACTCTTTCTTACATCTTTAGACTCAGGATTATAGCAATGACCACACCTCAAAATGATTCTAATTAACTAGTACATGTTTTGTTTTGTTTTTTAAACAAACCAAACCTAAAACACAGGCTCAGTACGTAACTTGGGGAAATGGCCAATGAGCAAAGCGGCCTGTGTACCATCCAGCACCAGGGATATTGTAGGTGGTTCATCACTGTCCTACTTCATGAGAGCTAGATTCATCATTATAGCATTTAGGAACATGTACCCAAAGTGAGTTACATTTGCATAGAAATGGCCCTTTAGGGAGAACTGTTTAAAAGCTCGGAATGAGTTCACATAAAAAGGAACCTGGGAAAGGTAAAAGTAGAGTTATTCTAGTTAGGATGTTATATGCTGTGACTACTAGGACAAACTTCCTGTTAGACCCCCTCAGCATGCACACAAAAAAAATTTTTTTTTTGGTCAGTACTGGTCTGAACTCAGAGCCTTGTGCTCTCTCATTTGGCTTTTCTGCTCAAGACTGGTGCTCTACTACTTGAGTCACACCTTCACTGCCAGCATTTTTTGCTGGTTAATTCTAGGTCAGAATCTCCAGAATTTGTCTGGCCAAGCCACTTCAAGGATTCAAGGCATGAACCACTAGCACCTATAGTCCACTCAGAAACTTAGTTCGGAAATCATCTCTTAATGAGCAACCACACTCATGGTGATGTAACGGAGGGCTTTACTGGTAAACTTGACAGATGAAGACATCCCCAAACCCAACAAACCATTTAGTTAAAGACTTCTTGTTTTAGGAAAGATTACGGCTAGTACCACAAAAGTGTAAAAGAAAAAAAAAGGCAAAGAACAGTGTCTATGAAAACTTTGACAACATCATTGCTCAAGAAAATAACTAAATTAGTTTTGAGGTATTTTATAGTATGGGTTGAGCATCTTAAAAAAGAAGTAAAACTACATATATATTCAAGTAATGGCTCAATCTTTTCTACTTGATATTCTGACGCAACTAACTGGCATCTACAGTTGATTCATAAAATAACGGAGATCAAGATTGTATTGCAGGAAGTTACTGTTCAATAGCAACATGCTTACGGGACTCAAGCTCAACGCTGAAAATGAACAGGAAACTTAGGGAAAATGTGTTAATATGGGCCTCGCTATGAGTTAATCACTCAAATTTTCTATATGAAAAATAACTAACCTAACTGTTGGGATTTTTTTCAGATTCTACTGATTCCATTTTCAAGGTACGAACAGAATTTTCTAGTATTAAACACTTCATGTGACAGTATACATAAAAGCATTTTTAAATTGTAATAATTCAAACCCAAATCTGCTATAAGTTAAAAAAATTTTTTTCACTTGAAAATAATACATTTAAACACTAGACTACCATTCTGAAGAAAACACTTTTTTATGACTTCAATGACATTTTGTTTTCAAGCAGGAGTCAATCACCTTGATCTGCTTCAAAATACTGCTGACAATTTGCTTTTGAATACTGTGTGAGGTGCCCTTGAAGAGAGACCATTGCTCTCTGAGTCTGCTTCCGGCTTCCGGTTGTTTGAGGAAGCCTGTAAGGCAGGAACACTGGATGGTGGAGGCCATTGCTGAGATACTGCTGGTTTCGGGCTGTGTGGACTTAAAAATTACACTTCTAAAAAGTCACTCCATTCAGTCACAGTTACTAAGCTGCTTTGTAATGTGTTTGGCTCATGATCTTGAAGTCCTGTGGAGGAAGAGGGAGGAAGGAGGGGGGAGGGGAAGAAGAGGGAGAAAGGGGAAGGAGAGAAAGACCCAGTGATTAAACAAACCTGGGTGGTGATTTCAAGCTGTGTATTTTTTACTTTTTATTTTATTATTGTTAAGTAGTTGTACAAAAGGATTTCAATTCAACATGTCAGTGTATGAGTACAATGCCCTCTGTTCAATGTCTCCCATCATTCTCCATCTCTCCCAACTCCACCCATCCCTTCTCTGCTCCTCTACCCCTCCCTCCCCTCATCATGCTGCCTCTCATAACTCAGGAATCCCCAGCTCCAGTCCCCTCCAGAGCAAGGGGAGGGGGGGAGGTGACCATAAAATCTCCTTGTGAGTTGGTTACAAATCTGGGACCCCCCTCTCAGGGCCTGGCACGTGAGCTTTACCCAGCAACCCACCAGCTCCTGGGCAGCAGGACGGGGCATGGGTATCCAAAGAGCTTGGTATATGTGTGTTGTGTTAGTAACTCTGAGCTGAGCTGGGTGCTGGTGGCTCATGCCTGAAATCCTAAAGACACAAGAGGCTGAGATCTGAGAATCGTGGTTCCAAACCAGCCATGGCAGGAAAGTCTGTGAGACTCTTATCTTCAATTAACCACAAAAAAAGCTGAAAGTGGAGCTAGGCCTCAAGTGGTAGAGTACCAGCCTTGAAGAAAAAGCTGAAGGACAGCGCCCAGGCTGAGTTCAAGCCCAAGGATTGGCATGAACAGTGTTCTGGATGGTGAAAATGAGCCAAAATCCCATCTGTCTCAGGAAGACATCAACATCTCAATGTCTAAAGTCATCACATTAACAACACAAAGGTTGGAGTCCATTACACAGACTGGTAGTCTGCTAGCCTTGAGCAGAAAAAGCTCAAGCACTGCATGCGGGCCCTCAGTTCAAGGCCCAGAATCAGCATACACTCAGAAATCTAAATCTAAATTACTGGCAAAATAAGCATATGCCTTTAATCCCAGCATTTTCTTTCTTTCTTTTTTTTTTTTTTTGGTCAGTCGTGGGCCTGAACTCCAGGCTTGGGCGCTGTCCCTCAGCTCTTCAGCTCAAGGCTAGCACTCTACCACAGCGCGACTTCTGGTTTTTTCTGCTTATGTAGTACTGAGGAATCAAACCCTGGTGCTCATGCATGCAAGGCAAGCACTCGACCACTGAGCCACTTTCCTAGCCCTGATCCCAGTGTTTTAAAAAGGGGAGAATGGAGAACTGCAAAGTTGAGGCCAGCCTGGGCTACACAATGAGAGCTTATCTCAAAGCAAATGAGCACACAAAACATAAATCACAATGTTCTAACTCAAAAAGTTGAATCTGTTGAAAGTTAAATTCTTGGTGATCCAGCTCTAGATAGCACGTACACAAGGGACTTTCTAGCTAGCAATTTCATTTGTAATTTATCCCACTATCTACAGTGCTGTAAGAAAACTAACAAGAAGAAAAATCAAGAAAAATATTTAATAGGAAGTAGAGGAATGCTGGAAGACTGCCATAAGAACGGTCTCATTCCCGTATAGGATTTCTATGGGGCAGGTGCATGAAAAGAATACTTGTGTGTCATTTTAAGAAATAATATGATAAGCCAGGCGCTGGTGGCTCATGCCTATAATCCTAGCTACTCAGGAGGCTGAGATCTGAGGATCATGGTTCAAAGCCAGCCCAGGCAGGAAAGTCCGTGAGACTCTTATCTCTAATAAATCACAAGAAAACCAGAAGTGGTGCTGTGGCTCAAGCAGTAGAGCGCTCGCCTTGAGCTGAAGAGCTGAGGGACAGTGCCCAGGCCCAGAGTTCAAGCCCCGCAACCGACCAAAAAACAAAACAAAAAAAAAAAACTTTTTTTGGTATGGATGTATATAGGAGAAGGTCCTGGAGTTTGCACTCAGGATTTTGTATTTTCTACACAGTCAAGCCGTGACCCCTGTTCTTTTTACTTTTTCTCAACTTGGGTCTCAAAATTTTCTCCCTAAGGCTGACCTCCTTTGACCTATGCTGTCTGTGTAGTTGGTATTACAGAAGTGACCATCCTACCTACTTGTTTGCTGAGGTGGGAGTCATGCTGGCTTTTTACCCAGACTGGTCTCCAACCTCCAACCATCCTCCCAATCAATCTCTGCCTCCTAAATAGCTGGGATTATAGGCATGAACCACCACACTTGGTGTAAAAAAACATTACCATGAAAAGTTATACAAGAAATTAAATAAGGATGATTAGTGCATGTGTATCAACTTATTCAGACTTTATTAAAATAACATAAAGCATCAAAATCTTGGTTAAGCCAAGAGTGGTTTTCTGGTGGTAGTTGGTTTATGTATATGGTATTAGGTAGAACCTTGTGCATGCTAAGCAAGCACTTCACCACTGAGGTACGTCCTCAGCTGCTAGTAGTGTTTTGACGGTATGTTAGCATAACTAAAAGAAGTTACCTATAGAGATGAAATACAAACTGGTCAGAAAATGGGCTGAAAGAGAGAGAGACAGAGACAGAGAGAGACTCACCATCTCCCTTGGACTCCCGAGGGACAAATGCACCCCAGGCACATGGCACTTGAAGAGAACTGAATTCCTTCTTCACAGGGGGAAGCTGCCTCTGGTCTTGTCCAGTTTTTTTGCTCAGAGACTTTTCTTCCTCTAAGGATGAGCCATCCCAGTCATCATCGTCCACATCTGCACACTGAATTACACAAGAGAGGGTGCTGGTGCCTCACGCCTGTAATCCTAGCTACTCAGCAGGCTGAGAGCTGAAGATTGCAGTTCTAAGCCAGCCCTAGCAGGAAAGTCCATGAGACTCTTATTCCCAATTAACCATCGGAAGACCAGAAGTGGCACTGTGGTTCAAAGAGGTAGAGCACTAGCCTAGAGCGAAAAAGCTCAGGGATAGTATCCAGGCCCTGAGTTCAAGTCTCACAATGGACAAAAAAAAAAAAAAAAAAGAGGGAACGAAAAGAAATACGCAGAGAATAATTTGTTTCTTAAAGAAATGGTTCCCCTGGACATGGATGAAAGTGAATTATGCAACATGTAGGTGGAGATAGGAGGAAGGGAATGGGAGAGAGGGGACAGATGACATGATACAAAAGAAAATGTACTTATTACTTGACATATAGAAGTGTAAGCCTGCTGTATAGCACCTCTAAAAGAACAATAAAGTAAGTTTTTTTAAAAATGAGAGGCTGGGAAGGTGGCTCAGTGGTAGAGCACTTGCCTTGCATGCCTGAGGCCCTGGGTTCAATTCCTCAGCACCACATAAGCAGAAAAAAAGCTGGAAGTGGTGCTGTAGCTCAAGTAGTACAGTGCTAGCCTTGAGCTGAAGAGCTGAGGGACAGAGCCCAGGCCCAGAGTTCAGGCCCACAAAAAAAAAAAAATCCATAAAAAATAGAAACAGTGCTCCCTCAGTCATGCTGCCATTTTGACCGAGCAGCTGACAGTGAATGACTAGAAAGGTGGGTGTGAAGGTTGGGACCTCAAATCTGGGCATTTCTGCAGGGTAATGAAGTACATTTGGAAAGTCATATTTTGAAAGCTGAACAAATCATCTTTTTCCTTTCATGCCATGGAAGCGTATCCTTTTCCTCTTTACCAATCACCAGTGCTACATGGTAGGGTGGGACTCATCATTCAGAGAGCCCCACAGGAGCTGAGCACCACCAGACCCCCACCAAAAGACACATGCACTTCCATCACACCTTTCCCAAAGGGCACCGTAGCTTCTCCTGAATGATACATGACTTCTTGTCATTTTTCGGTTAAACAACACAAGTAGCACTAACTGATAAAAAGTAGTGTAAAGCCAGGTGGCCCCCACCTGTTATCCTAATTACTCTAATTACTTTAGACTGAGAGCAAAAGATCAAGGTTCAAAGTCAGAGTGGTCAGAAAAGTCCATGAGACGCTTGTTCCCAATTAACCAGCAAAAAGCCTTGAGAAAAAAATAGAAAGCCAAGCAAGAGCTCAAGGTCCTGAGTTCAAACCCCTGTACCAGCGCAGAGAGACACAGACAGACAGACAAGACAGACAGACAGACAGACAGACAGACACACACACACACAGATAACACCAAGTAGTCTGATATAACGCTCTGGATTCCAGAGATGAATATGAATAGGAGAGGAATAAAAATCTTATTTTAATGAAAAATGAAGAGAAGAATGCCAACTATTAGAAGACTGAGTCAACACAGGGTGGTGGAAACACTGGGAAAATGCTCAGGCCTCTGCTGGGATGTAGGCAGGAGCATGGGCCTGCCCTCCTGGCTCTCGACTCACACATCTATGAAGAACTCTGCCACTGACTCAGATGCCCAGCAGGGCGAGATCCTTCCCCTACTTTATCCCAAGGCAGAAGAGAAATCCCTGGCTGTGGATGTGGAGGCCCCAGATTCCAGCCAATCACAAGTGCTTTCATTCAAGCCATCTACTATCTGTAAGTGCTGGGAGCAACATGTAACAGAAGCTTACAAATCTATGTAGTGGGGCATGTATATGATTTATTATTATAAGCTGAGTGTCTCTTATCCAAACTGCTTGGGCCTAAAGTGTTTTTGATTGATAGGGTTTGTGATTGAGGAATATTTGCATAGATTTTACTGAGCATCCCTGATCTAAAACTCAGAAATCCAAACTCTAATAAGACTTTCTTTTGAGAGGTAGGGAAATGTGCTGGGCATTGAACCCAGAGCTCTAGATTCTACCACTGAGCTACACCCTCAGCCTCCAAGTTGGGGGGGAACAAAGTTTCTAATAGTGATTGTCAATGCTTACAAAGTGTAGGATTTTGCAACATTTCACATTTTGGAATTGTAGATTAGGTTACTGAGTCTGAACTGCCAGGCGGCCATCACAGTTCCTCTGATTCTCTACAGAGTGATGGGAATGCACATGCAAAATGAGCCGAAATACCACCTCTGCCACACTAATGCATCTCCCAGGTTTTAGATTTCACTCTAAAATGTCACTGTTTATCCAAAGGGGAATGTGGGTTTAGTAAGAGGTTTTTACCTTTAGTTCTTCTTCTTTGAATTCTTCTTTTCTGTCAAACTTCTCAGGAATGTGGATCCCTCCAATTGGTTTGTTCATAGTTTTCTGCTGTGGAATGATCTTTTCAACTTTATCCGTTTGTATTTTAATGGAGGTTACTATAGGAACAAACGAAACTAGTCAAGAAAACCTTTCTTCAAAATGGTATTCAGTTCTACCCTTACAGTTTTGACAAGAGTCTAAGTTTTGTAAAATATTTTTGTATTAGCAAAATAAAACTCACTGATGTATTTGGGGTTTGGAAACAATGTTAAACACTTAGAATCCCCTAAAAAAGATCAACCCCCAAACTGGATATCTCTATGTAGGAAACTAAAATTGGATCCATGTTTGCCACCATGCACCAATATTAGCTCAAAGTGGATCAAAGAACTCAACATCAGACCTGAAACTTTGAAACTACAACAAGATGGGGTAGGAGGAACATTAGAACTTACTATAGGCATAGGCAAGAACCTTTTGAAAAGAGTCCCAGGGGCACAGCAAATAGAAGAGAGACTGGACAAATGAGATTACATCAAAATTAAAAGCTTCTGCACAGCTAGGTGCTGGTGGCTCATGCCTACAATCCTAGCTACTAAAGATGCTGAGATGGGGGCTGGGAAGGTGGCTCAGTGGTAGAGCGCTTGCCTTGCATGCCTGAGGCCCTGGGTTCAATTCCTCAGCACCACATAAGCAAAAAGAAAAAAATAAAATAAAGATGCTGAGATGTGAAGATGAGGTTCAAAGCCAGCCTACACAGGAAAGTCCACAAGACTGCTATCTCCCATTAACCCACCAGAAAACCACAGTGAAGCTGTGGCATAAAGTGGTAGAGCACTAGCCTTGAGAAAAAAAAAAAGTTCAGGGATAATGCCCAGGTCCTGAGTTCATGTCCCATGACCAACAAAATAAAATTAATTAATTCATTCATTCATTAAAGTTTCTGCAGCCAACAGACTAGGAGAAGATCTTTACCAACAATAGAGCCAACAAAGGCCTAATAGCCAAAAATATACAAGGAGCTCAAAAATTAACCCCTCTCCACATTAATAAACCAATCAATATGTGAGCAAACATGTTAAAGAGAGACTTCCCAGAAGAAGTAAGAATGGCAAAGAAACACATGAGGACATGCTCAACATCACTGGCCATAAAAAGGAAACGCAATAATGACAATTCACCTTGTGAAGGTTAAAATGTGTTTGTGATTTTAACTAAATATCACTATTCCACAATATTGTGAAGTTTAGGTAATCACTAATCTCAATTTAAAAAACATTTAAAAAGGAAATGCAAATCAAAACAACTCAGATTCCATCTCACCCCAGTCAGATTAGCTGGTGGGAATGTAGAGAAAAAGGAACCCTACTGCACCACTGGCGGGAAAGTAAACTAGTACAACCACTCGGAATGCTCCTCAAATAATTAAACATAGATCTTCCCTATGAGCCAGCCATACCACTCTTGGGCAGCTACCTAGAACATTACAAGTCAGGATATGATAAAGACACTTGCACATCCATGGTCACTGCTATCCTATTCACAATAGCCAAATTATGGAAACAGCCCAGATGCCCTACAATAGATGAGTGGATCAAAAAATGTGGTATAATGCTGGGCACTGGTGGCTCACGCCTGTAATACTAGCTACTCAGTGGCTAAGATCTGAGGACCATGGTTCAAAGCCAGCTCCAGCAGGGCAGGAAAGTCCGTGAGACATTTATCTCCAATTAACCACCAGAAAACTGGAAGTGGCGCTGTAGCTCAAGTGGTAGAGCACTTGTCTTGAGCTGAAGAGCTGAGGGATAGTGCCCAGGCCCAGAGTCCCATGACCAACAAGTAAATAAACTAAAAAAAAAAAAAAAATGACCCAGGAGCAGCTTTTGAGAAAGAACCAGAGACAGAGACCAGGATCCTGTGTTTCTTTCACCCTGCCCCACGTCCAGAGGCTAGAGCACAGTGTGTTACAACAGCCATTCTTACAGCAACCCCAGGGCTGAGCAGTGGGTTTGAACTGTGTGTTCCCCTCAAATTCCTGTATCAAGTCCCCGGCCCCAGGACTTTAGAATGCAGCTGTACTGGGCGGCAGAGTGAAGAGGCAGTTTGGCGAAAGCAAGGATATGTGTGAACATGCTTTATAAAACTGGAAATGAGGACAGAGATAGCCGCCTTGGGCAGAGGCTGGTGTGAAGAGACACAGGGAGAAGACGGCCATGTGTGCACCAAGGACAGAGGCAGAGAACCCGCCCGCACAAGGAACCAACCTAGCCAACACCTACATTTTGGACTAGCTGGAACACTGGCAGGGTAAATCACCCCCTCCAGTCACCTCCCCTCCCTGCAAGTACCTTGTGTTTTTGTTACAGCAGCTGCAGGAAACGAATACCTACAGCACCCCAGACCCTTTCCTCTCCTTCAGCCTGAAGATAGATGGGTTGCTAAGCAACTCCCCTCCCCCTCTGGAAGTGCCCCATCCTCTCCCTCCTCTCCCTCCCGGCCCTGAGTCCCAGGGCCTGGGGTCTCCAGATAGGGGACCACTGCCTTCCATAAGACTTCAGGGAGGTCTTCCCAGGATCAAAGCTCACACCTGAGGGTTTGGAAGACACGTCGGAGCCCTCAATCTCGCTCCCCTCCGTCCCATCCGTGTCACTTTTGGTGCTGTTCTTGCCGAAGCTGTTCTTGCTGCTTCTCGATGGCTGAATGGGAAGCAGGTCCGAGGACACAAAGGCCTGGATGAAGTCATCCTCTTCCAGCTCCTCCTCAGAGCTGAAGGGAGGCGTCCTGCAGAAGGCACAAGGGAAATGGAGGTCTCCTCCCGTCAAAGGACGACCAAGCCACAGGTCCCTGCTTTCCCCACATGAGGGGTGGCAGCGAGGCCTACAGGCTACCATGTGGCACTGGTTAAAATGAGTCATGACCTGGCTCCTGGAAACCCCTACGTGTGTTTTCTTAATATCTTTGGTTTTTATAGTGCCTAAGGGAAATACTTTTCAGTGAGAGGAAGCGATGATTTTCAACAATGTCACTGTTCTGTCTTTTAACTCATGACATCTAACTTAACTTCAGACTGCACCATACACAATGCTTACACATACACAATCTCATTTGTAGTCTCACATTGATTATCATCATGGCCATTTTAAGGGGGAAATAGAAATTGAGGACAGTTAAAGAATATCTGTAGAGTCCTTAAATTCCAGACTACACATCAATCGATGGAAAATGAACTATGTTTGATTATACTCTACTATGCAAGGCCTCGAAAAAGGTCCAAACTAAGGCAATGATGAGCTAGTCCAACTACCTTAGAATAAGTATTGCTCATAATTAATGACAGTTATGTACCTACATCTTAGTACCCACAAGTGCCGAGCACTGAGTCACACCCTCTTCATATACTCTCATGTAATATGTGAAACCATACCATGAAAAAAGCAGCATTACCCCAATTAGTAAAATCTTAAGAAAATTGAGGCTTAAAATAGTAATCAGCTGCATCACAGTTGAGCAACTGAGCAAGGATTCTTAGTAAGAACCTAGCAAACTAAGGTCTAGGGTCCTCATTAACTTTTTTTTTTTGCCTGTCCTGGGGCTTCAACTCAGGGTCTGGGCCCTCTCCCTGAGCTTTCTGTGCTTAAGGTTAGTGCTCCATCACTTGAGCAACAGCTCCACTTCTGATTTTTTTAATTTTTTGGTATTTAATTGGAGATAAGAGTCTCGTGGGCTAGGTCTTTCTAACCATGGCTGGCTTCAAATTGCAATCCTCAGATCTCAGCCTAGGATTGCACATGTGAACCACCAGTACCCAGCTCTCATTAACTTTTAAAAGGTGTTAGAGGGTTGGGAATGTGGCTTAGTGGTGAAGTGCTTGCCTAGCATGCATGATGCCTTGGAAGTGGCTCAAGTGGTAGAGTGCTAGCCTTGAGCAAAAGACCTCAGGGACAGTGCCCAGGACCTGAGTTCAAGCCCTAGGACTGACAAAAAAAAAAAAAGACTAGAACAATAGGATGGAATCTGAAATGTATACTCCTCATGAATCCAGCCATTGAAACTCAACCCATGCATTGGCTTCAAATGAGCTTTTCCTGATCAATTCCTCCACCCTGGGGTGGAGTACCTGAGAATGACTCACGTGTGAGCCCTGGTCTTAATGGAGACCGCAGAGTGGTTAAGTGCTAGTGACTTATCTAACTGATACACAAAGGCATGGCACAAATAACACATCCCATAGAATCACAAATTAACTACGACTGACTGATCACAGTGGCTTTAGTTAACTGCCACAAACAATCTAATTTACAAGGAAAAGGCATATTCAGTAAGAAGAAGTGTAAAAATTATTTCCTCCTGCCCCAAATACTCACGTTGTAGATAAAGATTTTCTGGGAAAATGATCTTCGATGACTGTTTTCTTACTTCTAAAGAATAACAGAAAAAAAAAAAAACATTGCTATGGTGAATAATATGGCTTAACATAGATACTTATGGAATTGCAGGGCTTTTTTGTTTGCTTTGTTTTTCAGTTTTGCTTTTAACAGAGCAAAGATGGACACCAGTGACTCACACCTGTAACTCTAGCTATGCAAGAGACATAGATCTGAGGATTGTGGTTCAAAGCCAGCCCAGGCAGAGAAGTCAGTGAGTCTCTTATCTCCAACTAACCAGCAAAAAGCCAGAAATAGAGGTGTGGATCAAAGTGCCAGCCTTGAGTGACAAAAGTAAGGGAGAGTGCCCTGGCCCTGAATTCAAGCCCCAGTATCTGCAATGTGAATCTCCTGGTGCCACCCAGAAACTACAAGGCAATTGCAAATGGGATTCACTGATACGAACTCAACACTTGGGACCTAGCAAAACACATATACTGAACCTCAGCAAACTGGTGTGTAGTACCCGGAGGCAGTAAGGTCACAGGAGGAGGAAGAGAGACTGGAGCTTCCCCTCTCCCAAGAGAGAACACCGTGAGACACAGAACTTGACCACAGTGCCCCAGTGCCCTCAAACTTGCAACCTCCAAAGCTCCAAGAAACAGCCTTGCACTGGAGAACGCATCCAATCTATGGCATACGTGATGGGGGCCCGAGCTGGCTAAGGTGAACCATGAGGTTGAAAATACTCACTTTGGAACAGCCATCCTGTCAGCAAAAACAGATCTTTGTCTAACCAGTGCTTTGCTTGGGGGAGGAAGCTGGACCGCTTTGGGTACTTCTTCAGCCAGTGGGGTGTCCATTTGAGGAACACTATACTTATCTGGAACTGGGGGGAAGAAGGGGAAGCCTTTATGAGTCTTTACTGCCTTGACAGGAAGCCAAAAGCAAATGGTACCGTCCCACCTCAGGTGCCAAGGAAATGAACTTCAGGCCTTTCCTACCTACCTCCCTTCCTCCCTCTATTACTTCCTTCTTTCCTTCCTTCCTTTCTCTCCATTTCCTTCCTTCTTTCCTTGCTTCCTTCCTCCCTTTCTCACCTTCCTTCCTCCCTTTCTTACCTTCCTTCCTTCCTATTTCCTTCTTTCCTTCATTCCTTCCTACTTCCTTCCTTCCTATTTCCTTCTTTCCTTCCTTCCTTCCTTATCTTTCTGTCTGTCTTTCTGTCTTCCTTTCTTTTCCTGTGTAGAACAAAAGCCTAGACCCAACACTCACAGTACAAATAGTTGAGTTGTCAGTGAAATACCAAAGTTCGTTCACCATGTCTGAAATTATAAAAAGGGTTGTTAGAATTAACTCTCACCCAAAGCAACGAAATGGCAGTTGGTAACAGACTTCCCTGAAGACAGCAATGTCTTCTCCTCAATTTTACAGCTGACCTGATGCTCAAGAGATTCTCGAATTTGCTGGATGTTAGGTATTTTTCTTGCTTGCTCATGTCTTCCCAGTTCCACCGTTCTAAGGACTCTGTTCAGGTGATCACTGGGAATGCCCCGTGTGTTCTGTAGGAGGAAGATGCGCAGTGAGCTGGGGTGAACTGGGGTGTTTGTCATTTCGTGGGGGTGTGTGTCATGATTCACTCTACCCAAGGTGCAATCCATCCTTCCGGAGCCCCAGCTGCATGTAAAGCAGGTGGCATTCCAACAGGGAGCGTGTGTCCTGCCACCAACAGGAGTTCACCATGCATGTGGCTGGCTATTTATGAGTAATGATATACCAAGCTGTGGAGCAAGGACCAAAGGAGTCCACCCAGGTTAGAGGAATCCCAGGGAGAAAGGTCATCCTAGACGGCCCAAGCAGAAGGCCGAGCTGTGACTCCACAGAGGATCACACAAGTATAATTAAGGAGGAACGTCACATAATGAGGCATGGGAGCAGGGCTGCCTTTTGGGAAAGATGGGCCCTGAAACAGAAGTAGTCAAAGCATGTCCCACAAATGAACCCTGCAGACCCACGTGAAGAAGACCAGAACACAAGGTTAAAGGCCAACACTGGAAGTTTCAGGGTCCTTCTTCAGGGAAGAGAAAGTCATCAGAGGTGACTTTCCAATATGGAGTTAGCATAATTAAAGAGGTGATCTAAGAAAATTAGTCTAGATCCGATGGAAATCAACACAGAAGGAAGTTAAAGGCCTAGATACTTAATAACAGTATCTCTCACACAAATCCATCTCCCATCTTGAATCTCATGGCCTGTTTCAGCCTTTCTCATCCCAGGGCGTGGCCCTACCACCCACTCAAGTGTAGGGACATAGATCTCTGTCCTCAGAGTAAATGCCACCCCTAAGATGTTTTCTGTGATCTCAGTTATTTGATTGGCCCCACCCTGCATTTCCCTCATCTCTACTATATTCATCCTGTCATCAGAGATCTATCATCTGTGTCTGTGAATTTGCTTCACTAACAAGCTTTCCTTCTCTCCTCTAATCCTTCCTGATTTAAGAAACAAAAAATATAACAAACTAGCAAATATACCAAAAATAAATGAGCATACTGAATTAATCCCCAAGTTTTCCAATTTCTTCATCAAGTTATGCTCCAAGAGTGTTCTTAACTCCTTAGTGAAGAAGGACCCAGTCTTCAAATCTTTCCTCGCATATGTCTTCTTATTTAATTTCTGTTCGTTTTCCCTTCCTGAAGTAAAGTTTTAAAAATAGGTTGAAAGAGGATTAAACACACACATTAAATCTCCAAGCAGAACGATCTCAAAACACAACTTTAAAATGACAAGTAAACGATTATGGTATTTTGGAATAGTTTAGTCCTTCCAAATAATAGATGATGTTTCAGTACTGCAGCTTCTTAAAAAAAAGTCTGCTTCAAAACTTCAGTGCAAGCTGGGCATGGTGGCTTTACACCTGTAATCCTAGCTATTCAGAAGGCTGAGATATGAGGACTGCAATTAAAAGCCAGCCTGGCAGGAAAGACTAAGAGACTTTTATCTCCAATTAACCAACCCCAAATCCAGAAGTAGAGCTGTGGCTCAAGAAGTGGAAGTGCTAGCCTTGAGGGAAAAAGCTAAAGGACAGAACCCAGACCCTGACTGAGTTCAAGTCCCAGAGCTGTTGTAAAAACTAAAAAAATGAATAAACTTTGAATTTAAAATTCTTGATGCCTAACTGAGTTACAGCTGAACAGTTTAAAAATACATGTATCGGGGCTGGGAAGATGGCTCAGTGGTAGAGCACTTGCCTTGCATGCATGAGGCCCTGGGTTCGATTCCTCAGCACCATATAAACAAAAAGAAAAAAGCCGGCAGTGGCTCTGTGGCTCAAGTGGTAGAGTGCTAGCCTTGAGCTGAAGAGCTGAGGGACAGCGCCCAGACCCAGAGTTCAGGCCCCATGACCGGACCCAAAAAAAATTAAAAAAATAAATAAAAATTAAAATACATGTATCCACTGAAACATAAAGAAAAAAATCTTATTTAGAAAGTTAGTGGTTTATCACTAGAACTATTTCCCCTCAAAATTCATCTCCAAATTCAATTAGAATTTGTGAATTATCTTATAAAGAAAAAACTCAATTTAAATACTAAAGAATGATAAAATAACAAAATTAGTAGATGTTAAATTCACATCACGTTTCAAAATGTAGTAATTATGTTCCTCAAATATGCATAAAAAATTAGCAGAAGTCACAGAGAAATTATGTTCTATGTCAAACAACCTCTAGTTAAAAATATAACTAGCACTGGTGGCTCATGCCTGTAATCCTACTTACTTGGGAGGCTGAGATCTGAAGCCAGCCCAGATAGAAAAGTCCCCTTGAGATGTAAGACTCTTATCTCCAATTAAAAACTCAAAAACTAGAAGTAGCACTGTGGCTCAAGTGGTAGAGCAAGAGCCCTGAGCACAAAGAGGCTCAGGGACCATGCCCACAACCAACCAAAAAATTAAAAAAAAATTTATACACACACACACACACACACACACACACACACACCCCAAGACCAAAAAAACAAAACAAAACAAAACAAAAACAATGGTGATATTCTCTGTACTTTTTATCCCCATTCTACTTTTTTTTTTCCTTTTGGCCAGTTCTAGGGCTTAATCTCAGGGCATGGGCACTGTTCCTAAGCTTCTTTTGCTCAAAGCTAGTGCTGTACCACTTTGAGCCACAACACCACTTCCATCCTTTTCTGTGATTAATTGGAGACTAGAGTCCCACAGACTTTACTGCCACAGCTGGCTTTAAACCAAGATCTTCAGAGCTCAGCTTCCTGAGTAGACAGGATTACAGGGATGAGCCACTGTCTGGCTCATTCATTCATTTATTCATTCATTCATCAGTCAAGGCCTGGGTGGCTGTCCCTGAGCTTTTATGATCAAGGCTAGCACTTGACCATTTTGAGCCATAGCTCCACTTCCAGTTTTTTGGTTGGTTGGTTGGAGATAGTCTTATGGATTTTCCTGCTCTAGCTGGCTTTGAACCAAGAGCCTCAGATCTCAGCCTCCTGAGTAGCTAGGATTACAGGCTTAAGCCACCAGTGCCTGGCATGGCTTTCATTTAAGATGTTTTCCAGAACTCTTTTTCAGTTCCGATTCTAGAGAATACTTTTGTTATATTAGTAAAGTTTTACTGTTAGAAAATTAGTCAATTACTATTGTACATTAAATAGAAAGGAAAAAAATTCTGCATGAAGATCTTTTTCTATGCTCTGCTATTCCAGCTTTTTTTTTTTTTGCTAAGCAGAAATGATTAAGGGTGATTTTATGTATTTTTTGTTGTTGTTGTTTTTGTTTTTTTTTGGTCGGTCCTGGGGCCTGAACTCTGGGCCTGGGTGCTGTCCCTCAGCTCTTCAGCTTAAGGCTAGTGCTCTACCACTAGAGCCACAGTGCCATTTCCAGCTTTATCTGCTTATGTGGTGCCGAGGAATTGAACCCAGGGCCTCATGCATGCAAGGCAAGCACTCTACCACTGAGCCACCTTCCAAGCCCAAGGTGATTATATATTATGATTATATGTATTACAAGTTGGAAGTCATCCTAAATTTTATACTCTCAGCATCCACCCCACTGATTAACCATTAATATTTTCAAAGATTCTGCAACTATCAAAACAAAAACCTCATCTGCTCTAGGAACGGACAATCTATCAAAAGCTAGAAAAGTTAGCTCCCGCCACAATGTCATCTAGTTACCCATCCAGTTGACACTCAACTAGATCTAAAGGTAAGAGGCATCTAGGGAAAGGCTGGATGTAATGGTGCTGGCCAGTGAAATAGATTTGCCCCTACCCAGTTGTGCAAACATAGATTCTTGTTCAGTTTCTCAGATATAAAGGAAGTGTGTGGGAGCATAGCCTAAACAGAGGCTCAAAACCACATGGGGAGTAGGAGATTAAGCAAAGTCTAGCTTAGTTCAGCCACACTTTAGCAGAGGCTCAGCCCTGGGTATAAGCTGTTGTATTCCTTTGCTGATGTACCTGGAGTCACCCTTAACCCCAATGACCTTCATTTTATTGACTGACTTCCTCAAATTGCTGCAGAGTAAACATTTCATTTTGTCCTCTACTCTACTGTTTATGTTGGTAATTGCTTTGGGAAGCCATTCACGAAGACTTAGAAAACCTTTGTTGGTGATTATTAAGGCTGAGGCTGGTTAATGGAAGCAAGAAAAAGAACAGACAGTGGACAGGAAAAAAAAATAATGTTTAGGGTACAGGTAGAATGAATCATGTGAAAAACAAACAGAGGCAAAGATTTTGGCATTGCTGCATCTAAAGCCCATCCAGACAAAACTTTTCTCCCCAGGGAGAAAGACACTCTTTGTGGGGGACACTAGGGTCTGAACTCAAGTCTTATAGCTGATAGGCAGGCACTCTGCTACTTTGACATACCTCTAGACCTTTTATGCATTGTTTCTCAGATCATGTCATACTTTCTGCCTTGGTCTGCATCTGGACTGCAATCTTCCTGTTTTTCATTTCCCACTGTAGTTGGGATGACAGGAATATGCCACCATGCCCCCATTTTTCCGCTGAGATGGACTTTTCTGCCTGGAACTGAGGTTCTCCTGATTGATTTCAGCCTTCTGCATAGCTAGGACAGGTACATGCCACCAGGCCCAGCTATTGGCCAAGAAGAGGCCTTGCATGCACACACAGGCTGGTCTCACACTGACATCTTCCCAATACCAGGCTCCCAAGTAGCTAGGATTACAGGTGTGTGCCACGGGTGCCCAGGTCCAAATCTGAAAACAAATCCAAGTAGCCAGGCTAATGTGTAATAGGTCACGCCTGTGACCAGCTGCAGTGATGCAGGGTGGATGAGAGGAAAATGAGGCATGGTAAACAGCTGCCCGGAATTCACAAAATCTGAAGCTTAAAGCAAATGCAGGAGATGTTCATCCATCGACTTCCCTTAAGATTAAGGGACCAGGAGGATGGCTCAGTGGAAGAACTGAGGGACAGAGCCCAGGCCCAGAGTTCAGGCCCCACAGCCGACAAAAAAAAAAAAAAAAAAAGAAGAAGATTAAGGAACCAACATCATTTTAAAGGCAGGAAAACTTAAGGAGAGTGAGACCTGAGGAAGGCACTTTGGAAGCACTCTGTCTTCTACCTTTGAAACACCTCGCCTCAGGAATTAGCATTTACTTGGCCAAATGCATCCCTTCCTGAGAGATGCATTCATTGTTGCCTCCAGTGTTAGCATCCTTTCCTGAGAGAAATGCTTCCCTCTCCCAAATCATATAAACAACCAGACTGGTAAACAAGAGCCAGGAACTTAGAAAGTGTAACAAAACCAAGAGTAATTAAGAGCAAAAAACACCTATATACATAACTTTAAGTCAGACCCCCCTGCCTTTATCATTTCAATACCCCGATGCCAAATAGCTCAGTGTCTCTCCTTTTGAGCACCCACACTCAGTTAAGAGTGTGCCTCTGCCTTCCTGTTTGTCTGCTTTCTTGTTTCTTGCCTGCTCGGTTGCTCTATGAATACTCAAGCGCTGCCACGTTTTCTTACCGTTGTAACTTATCCAGAAAAATCTTTTTTGTTGTTGTTGGTGGCGGTGGTCATGGGCCTTGAACTCAGGGACTGGGCACTGCCTCTGAGCTCTTTTTTCTCAAGGCTAGCATTCTACCACTTTGAGCCACAGTACCACTTCTAGTTTTGAACCAGGATTCTCAGATCTCAGCCTCCTGAGTAGTTAGGATTACAAGTGTGAGCCACCAGCATCTGGCCATAAATTCTTATTCTGCACTTGAAGTCAAGAACAACTCTCACCTGCACCCACTGATAGTTCAACAGACACAACAGACCATTTAGGGTAAGGAAATAACTGTAGTACAAGGCAAGTATCAAAGGATAATAATAAGAAACCAATTTCTGAATTCAAAAGGGGCTTAAAACCTAATAGAGAAAATGTCCACAAGGTTGATGCTCAGGCCAGAGTCTGGAGACTTCCCCTGGGGCACTTGCTAGTACTGCAGAGCTATACTGACTCTCATCTTCCTCCCATTTCTTCTTTGCATTAAACTAGAGAAGGCAGGAAAACTTAAAAAACCTGAAGCAGGCTAATTCCCCGTTTCAAGTTTCTGAAAAATTAAATGCTTCTAATGAGCCTTTCTGATCCTCACACTTGAATAACCTATGAAGAGTTATCCATACAACTATCCAAAATCAATTATGAGCTGGGTACAGGTGGCTCACGCATGGCGGTTTGAAGCCAGTGGGACAGTCCGTGGGACTCTTATCTCCCACCACAAAACCAGAAATGGAGCTATGGCTCAAAGTGGTAGAGCGCTAGTCTTGAGCAAACCAGCTCAGAGACAGTGCCCACCCCCTGAGTTCAAGCTCCACCCCCGAAAAAAAAAAGTTGGAGGCTGGCTTTGAAAGGTGATCTTCAGTTCTCCACTTCTTCCTGAGTTAGGATTACAGGCGTGAATCACGAGCTCACAGCCAGTCAGATGGATCCTTTAACCTTCAGTTCCAGGTGGCAGCCCCTGCATCATTCTGCTCCTGCTTTCAGGGCTCTTCTACCCAAACAGGAGTTTGGGATACTGGCCAGCAAGTATCATCATTAGCTGGAGGAGAGCTGGCAGGAGAGAATGGATGGCTACAGAAAATACCCCTGGGTCCCAGTGTTATAGGAACCAGGGATTGTATTTGTAGCATGCTGGGGGCATGCTAAATGCCATCATAAATTCCTCAGCTGGGCTAACGTATTACAGATAAATGCTGGCAGAGCTAAAGTTGGCGAGGGGGGGTGGGGTGATAATAAACATCGTGGCTGTTACTGAGGAGAAACTCCAACACATGCACACTTCTGTGGTTTTTTATTGTTGTGGTTTGGTTTGGTTTTGCTGATCCTGGGGCTTGAACTCTGGGCCTGAATGTTGTCCCTGGGCTCCTGAGCCTGGCTCTCCAAGACTCTTTTCTTCAATTAGCCACCAAAAGGTAGAAGCGAAGCTGTGGCTCAAGTGGTAGAGCACCAGCCCTGAGCTGAGCTAGAGAGGGAAGTCCTGAGTTCAAGCCCTGGTATCAGCACATGCACACACACACACACACACACACACACACACTCCCCCCTCTGTCTCTCTCTCTCAGACCCTGAGTGATAGCCATTCATTGCTCCTACAAGCCTTCCCAGACTCAATTTCATAGATGTGTGAACCAAATGACCTTCAGTTTCAGTCTGGAAATTACCTGACCCTTTCTATGAACCTCCTGGCACATCTCCCAGATTCTAGAAAGAAAGGAGTTTTACATCTTAGACATTAATGAATGATATATACATAGGAAAGAGGAAATACGCTATATGAAAGTAAATTAGTGTGCCATGCTTATCCAGAACTCAAATCGGATTAAGGTTCGTTCATCCCATGTCTGGGAAAACAAGAGGGATGGTTGAAAATGGCTTCAAGACAATGTTGTTAAGCTGTTAAGCCCGATTCCTCCTCACCCATAGGACTTACTAACTCCTGTGTCTGCACAAAACAAAGAGGGCAAAGTGAAGCAAGAGGAGCCTGTGGTACCTGGACTATGGTGGCCGCTACGTAGCCGTGCTGAGTGTCTGAATGTCTCTAGGTGAACCACACCCCCAGCACTCATTTCTTTCCTTTTTTTTTTCTTTTTTTGCCAGTCCTGGGACTTGAACTCAGGGCCTAGGCACTGTCCCTGAGCTTCTTTTACTCAAGGATAGCAGCACTTTACCGCCACTCCCGGCCGTTCCTGTGTATGTAGTATGGAGAAATCAAACCCAGGGCTTCATGCATGCTAGGCAAGCACTCTACCACTGAGCCACCTTCCCAGCCCATGGTGCTCCTTTCCTTCCAGAGGTATTACAAATTCAGTTCCTTGTGTGAAACACTTTGATTTTTAAATGTTGGTAACAAGGGTGTAGCTCAAATGACTCTGAGCCTGTGGGCTGGAGTTAGCCTGCAGGGCTCACCTTCCCTACCCAGGCAGTAACCATCCTTAAGGCTGCAGGAGGGAATTGCAATGCATCCTGTAGGACAACAAGGTCTTAGAAAAGTGCTCATTGGAATACCCCAAACCTTCCCACATCAACTCTGTGTGGTTTTATTATCATCCCACACATCTTCACTCTTTGTCTTCTGAAAGAAACAGGTTGCTACAACCGGAATAGCGACAAAGATGTAAGAAAGCAAGCAACTAGCCAAGAGCCAGTGGCTCATGCTTGTTACCCTAGCTACTAGGGAGACAGAGATCAAGAGCATCATGATTGGAGGCCAGAACAGGCAAAAAGTCCATGAGATCTCTGTAATTCCAGTTACAATAGGAAATGTAAATAGAGTATAATAAAGCATGAAAAACATACCAGGGTATTAGAGGAATATGATTAACAAAATATTATAGATTGAAAATGTAACATAAGCCTAAATATCTTTCCTACTTTGTGTTTGTGTGTATACTGGTGTGCTTGAACTCAGGGCTATGGTGCTCTCCCTTAGCTTTTTTACTTAATGCTGGAGAGGTCTACCATTTGAGCCACAGCTCTATTCTGGCTGCTTTGATGGATAATTGGAGAGTCTCACAAGATGGCTTGAAACTGTGATCCTCAGATCTCAACCTCCTGAGTAGCTAGGATTACAGGCACGAACTACGGGCACCCGGCTTCATTCCTACTTTTGATACATCGTGCCATGACCCGCTGGTTTGTGCCTTGTAAGGCCTGGGTTTTAGCGTAAGAACACAACGGAAGCATGTAAAGGCTGATCGAGTCCTTTCTTACCTTTTTCTTCATCTGAGAGTTCTTCGATTGGTTCCAGGACATGTGATGAGAATGGCTGCTCCACTAATGGGGAAAAGTAAGAATAAAATGAAAGGTCAGCCACAAAGCAATGTCAATTTCCTTTCAATTCTGCCAGTCCTGGGGTTTGAACTTGGGGCCTAGGCACTGTTCCTGAGCTTCTTTTGCTCAAGGCTAGCACTTAAGCCATAGCACCACTTCTGGCTTTGTCTGTGTCTGTACCATATACATAGAGTGCTCTGTGCAAGCACGCTACTACTAAGTCATCTTCCTAGCTCGCTAGGGCATTTAAATAGTGCCTAAATCCCAAGTACCAACTAGGAAAACAACATTGAGGCAGGTAGTTAAAAAACTAGCCAGTTTTACATGGACTATTTACAGTTAATTTCTCCATTAACTGTAAATCTAATTGCGAAAATTTTTATTTTTTTTAATAATCAAGTTTAAAGTACCCAAAAGTTAAAATCAATCTATCAATAAATCCAACAGGGCACAATTGCAAAAATCTTTGCCATATATCATCTACCTTAAACAATGTACCAAAAATATGCTTACATAAAATAAAAATATGCTTACATAAAATAAAAACAAAGCTGGGTGCCAGTGGCTCACACTTGTAATCCTAGCTACTCAGGAGGCTGAGAGCTGAGGATCACGGTTCAAAGCCAGCCTGGGCAGAAAAGTCCCTGAGCCTCTTACCTCCAATTAACCACCAGGAAATGGCGCTGTGGCTCAAGTGCTTTTAACACAGGGATAGTGGGGAGGCCAAGAGTTCAAGTCCCATGACTGACATAAATTAATTAATTAATTAAAATAAAACTATCTCTTCCATGTAGGAAGTGTCGATCTGTAGTACCTTACACCCAAGCTTGGAAACCTGACAAGCACGAGTAGCTGCTGGCCAAGAAAGAGAGCCATGATGAAGAGCTGTGAGAGCAAGAGGGCACATGACAGGTCAGCAGCAAGATCAACTCTTTAAAAAAACGTTTTGGCTGGATGCCGGTGGCTCACGCCTGTAATCCTAGCTACTCAGGAGGCTGAGATCTGAGGATTGCGGTTCAAAGCCAGGCCGGGCAAAAAAGTCCAATAAACCACCAGAAAACCAGAAGTGGTGTCATGACTCAAGTGGTAGAGTGCTCACCTTGAGCTGAAGAGCTGAGGGACAGTGCCCAGGCCCACAGTTCAAGCCCCACACCCGACAAAAAAAAAAAAAAAGTCAGAACTCAGGATTGAATTCAGGGCCTCACACTTGCTAGACAGGCTCATTACTGTCTTTTTTCACTGATTACATTGAGATGGGGTCTCCCTTTTTGTCAGCACTGGCACCTAGACCACAACCCTCCTATGGTTGGGATGACAGAGGCATGCTGCTGGTGCCCAACTACTTACTGGTTGAAAAAGGTCTCACTAACTTTATGCTCAGGCTAGCCTCTTACTGAGATCTTCCTGATTTTGGCCTCCTGAGGAGCTAGGATGAGCCACTGTATCTAAGATCCATTGTTTTTGTGTGTGCATGTAGGTCCTGGGGCTTGAGCTCAGAGCCTGGGCATGCTAGCTCAAGGCAAGCATTCTATCACTTGATAGAATGCTCCATTTCTGGCTTTTTGGTGGCTAACCAGAGATAAGAGTCTCACACACTTTCCTTCATGGGTTGGCTCTGAACCATGATCCTCAGGATCTCAGTCTCCTGAGTAGCTAGGATTATCAGTGTGAGCCACCCGTACCCATCTTGAGAGCCATTCTTACATACATGTCAAGCCCTGATCCCACTCCCTGAGAGCCCCAGGGAGAGGTAAACAGGCTAGAGATAGGCCCTGGCCCCGCAGCTGGGCAGGTAAACAAGGGCAGCTCCCCAGCTCATCCTAGGAGTTTGGGGAGATGAAATGTCTGAGTGACATTTCCCAGGGAAATTGTTGCCACCACTACAACTGCTGGACACCAAAAATGTGCTTTTCATATCTGTTCTCCAGCATTCACATTTAAAATTCTATAAATAAGCTAAGACTAGTGTCAGCTAGGGAAAAGAGAGATTCGAGTAGGACAATTAATTTAATCATTTTTGGCAGTATTAGGGTTTGAACTCAGGGTCTCATACTTGTGAAACAGGTGCTCTACAACTGAGTTATGCCTCTAGTTTTTGGTGGGTCATGGAGCTTGAACTCTGGGGGTGGGTGCTGTCCCTGAGCTCTTCAGCTCAAGGTAAGTGCTCTACCGCTTGAGCCACAGTGTCACTTCCGGTTTTCAATTGGAGATGAGTCTCACGGACTCTCCTGCTTTGAACCATGATTCTCAGATCTCAGCCTCCTGAGTAGCTAGGATTACAGGCGTGAGCCACCGGCATCCTGTTTGTTGGTTATTTTTAAGACAAGATTTCGCTTCCTGACCAGGCACACTCCTGGATTGCAATCCACCTATTTATAGCTTTCCATCATCCCTGGGATGATGAGTATGAGCCACCCTGGCTAGCTTCCCTCAGGTGAGATGAGGTTCTGATACCTGTTCTGCCAGATTGTCCTGGAACTACGATCCTCTCAATCTCAGTCTCCCATGCAGCTTAGGGTGACAGGTATGTGCTACAACACCCAGCCGTGAGTTCAAAAAGGGGGCCTGTGAACTTTTCCACCCACGCTGGCCTTGAACCTCAATCCTCCCAATCTCAGCCTCCCAAGTAGCTAGGATTACATGATCCATTGACACCCAGCTAGATACCTTCCTGCTCACCACTGGAGCTACATGTGGGCTCAACATCCTCTTTGCCCAACCCCACTCCCCTCATATCAAACTTCCCACCTATACTCTCTACCCCAGAATCTGTTCCAAAGAAATCCAACCTAAGACATTTAGCCATCGTTACACTGTTTTCATGGGGAAGGATCTCATCAAAGTTCGAGATGGAATGAAAGATGGAAAGTAAACAGGATGATTAAAGTTACGAAACGCATGACTAAGCTCCCAACCACATCACCCTAGAAAAGCTGAGGTGGTGTAGGGGGCCTGGCTGAGTCCCCTTCTGTCTCCTGCCCATGCTCACAAATCAGCTTTGATCCTAGGCCAAGGGCCGTGGGCCCCTGACAGTTGTGGCTAGCATTTAACACTAGCAATGGCAGAAGATGCCAGAAGGAGACATGACTGAGTGCTGCAGCCCTGGGCTCCCAGGGGAGGGTCCCCATAAAGCTAACCTTAACGTGATCCCAAACCCTTTAATGTCCCCATCGCATGTGTTCTTCAGTGAGCAACAAAGATAAGCCCGAAGGAAAGAGTGGGCCCTGGATACCTACTCTCCAAAGGCTAACAATAAGGTAGAAAAGAATGTAAAAGAAGCTAAGACACACTGACAGAGTTACAAAGAGAAATGGCCAATAGTAAGGAGACAATTTGAAGATCCTTTTCTTGTTTATTCAACATTAAGACAAACATGGCCAGGTGTTGGTGGCTCACGTTGTAATCCTAACTACTCAGGAGGCTAAGATCTGAGGATCACAGTTCGAAGCCAGCCCATACAGAAAAGTCCGTGAGAATCTTATCTCCAATAAACCACCAGAAAACCAGAAGTGGAGGTAGGGCTCAAATTGGTAGAGCACCAGCCTTGAGCAAAAGAGCTCAAGGACAGTGCCCAGGCCGTGTTCAAGGCCCATGACTAACAAAAAAAATGATCTAAGGGTCTGAGTTTTTTGCGGGGGAGGGGGACCTACATGTTCTACACTTGTAAAAAGTAAGATCCAATACGTGAAGAATATTATATTACAATTATGTTGCAATCACAGTATTACAATTTGTGATTAAGACAACTGGTCCACCTAAAATAATCATAGACCAAGAAACAAGGTGCAATCAAGAAATTCCTCATGAGTCATCATTACTAAAAGCATCATTACTAAAGACCACTATATAGACCAGAATCTATAAAGACAAATGTCCCCTTAAACTGACCATATCAATCATGGACTTGAGTCCTCCTTTGTAGAAAATCACAACCAAGAGTGGGGTGAAATAATCATTAGATTCTAGAGCATTTTGTAGTAAGGTGAGAAAAAGGTAATATCGTCTGATCTTGATATACTATGAAAATTATAAGTACTTTAATATTTGAACAGCTCTAAATGTTCACCCTATGTTAATAATAATAATCAGCAACCACTGGGCATTAGTGCTCACATCTGTAATCCTAGCTACTCGGGAGGCTGAGACCTAAGGATCATAGTTCAAAGCCAGCCAGCTCAGGCAGGAAAGTCCATGAGACTCTTATCTCCAATGAACCACCAAATGCCAGAAGCAGAGCTGTGGATCAAAGTGGTAGAGCAAAAAAGCCAAGCAAATGTACAATGCCCTGAAGTTCAAGTCCCCCCGAAAACAATAACAATAATGATAATAATAATTGGTAATAATAACAATAATAACCAGTGATCTTGGAGGGCTGTTTTAAGAACTGAATCTTGGCAGCAATCTCATCCATGAAATTTCATGCTGCTATTTCCTTCAGTTTCCATCATGTCTTTTTCTAGATTTTCCTAACCAATTGTTGGAAGTGTTTATTTAAAAAAAGGGACTTGCTGTGACACTGAAAGTTATAAAAACAAGCACACATGCCCCGTGGCGTGTGCTGGTTGGCTGATTTAGGAGCAAGTCACTACCTTCTTTCCTTACTCCTTTCCACAGAAATCATAAACAAGCATGGCATCGCTCATGGTTGTTGGAAGCCCAACAACCATAAACATCAGGTGCTTCATTTTTGGTTTGCCGTATTATTACACATAAAGACTGCACTTGTACGAACTGTTTAGAACGTGCTCAGGTGTTTTCTGCTTGACATAACTACCCTGCCCCCCAGCACTGCGGGTTAATAAATGATCTAACTGGGAGTGAAAACTGCACACAACCCTCCAAGACGGCCACTCGTACTTACCATGGGCCATTGTTAGGTTTGACTTAGCTTCCAACATCTGCGGGGCTGAGGCACTTACTGCAACAGCATAGGAAAGAAAAAAACAAAACAAAAAAAGCTCAGGAGATCCATCATGGAAACAACCAAAGCTATCAAGGAGGAACACATCCTCACATAGGCCACCAGACACCCAGAGCGTGTGTTCTCCCAGGGGACAACCATGACAAATAGCATAGTGCTGGGAATTGAACCTACTGCTTTGTGCGCTACCCCTGTGTTCTAAAAACATGGGATGCAGTAGCTTTGAGTATATTAGGACCATGCAACCATGATTACTTACTATGGAATCTTAGAACATGCTTGCCACAACCACCACTCTAAAATACCTGCACCTGCCAGTGGCCTTCTTTCATTTCTATTTGCTGTTCTCAACCCCAGTGACCGTTCATCTACTTTGCTTTCATCTACTTTGCCTATTCTGAATATTGCACAGGTGGACTTGTGCAATAGGCTGTCTTTGGTGTGTGGCTTCTTTCACTCAGTTGATTTCAAGGTTCATTTCCATGTATCAATACAGATGTATTTGTTAATACATGTGTGCATAGCAGTGTGTGATTTTCATGGCCAAGGAGCATTCCATTGTATGAAAAGACCTCATTTGTGGGTGTGTGTATGTGTGTATATGACAGTTCTGGAGTTTGAACTCATGGCCTTCAACTCTTGCTTGGTTTTGTGCTGGAGACTGATACTCTATCACTTGAGCCACTTCCAGCTTTTTGCTGCCTAATTGGAGATAAGACTTTCTCAGATTTGTCTGCCTGGGTTGGCTCCAAATCATGATCCACAGATCTCAGCCTCCTGAGTGGACAGGATTACAGGTGTGAGCTATCAGCACCAGGCTGAGACCATATTTTTATCTGTCTATTACTTGATGGACATTTAGGTTGTTTCCTCATTGGGTTTACTGTGTATGATGCTGCAATGAACATTTATAGATGACAAGCCAATTCTAAAAAATACTCCTAGCACTGGGCTGTAAAAACACACAAGGCATCATTAATTATTCAGCTACAATCTTTAAAAAACAGGAGTATATGTAAGATTAAATACTATTTTGAATTCTGCAGAAAATTAGATTGCTCAGTCTCCCTTCTAATATTTGATCATTCTTATCCCAGGGTCTTTTCTGGATCATTGAATCATACATTAGTTTACATTCAACAACTTACCTCTAAGTTTATTATCTGTTTCTCTGTTAAGACTGGTCTTTTATTCTAATATTTCCAAAAAGTATTAGTCACAACCTCAGCTAATAATTTTTTGCATTCACAATGGCTACTGGTCATAGAGTCCCACTCCTAACCATGTATAAATTGCTGTCTCTCCTGGAAATATGACCTTTGAACTCATTTATAGCTAGTATCCTCTAGACCAAAGCTTGGTAAAGTATAGCCTTTGAGCTATATCCAGTCTACCTTTATAAAGTTTTATTGAAACATAACCTAGTTTACTTATGTAAGTAGTCTAAGGCTGGTTTTGCACAATAGCAGAGCTGAAGGGCTACAGAAGAAATCACCTAGTTTATGAAGCCTACATAGTCACTAGTCCTTTATAAGAAAACAGTCTAGATCTTATTCCAGTTTACAGAATCAAACCATCTTATCTGGTTAAAACTGGTCATCGCCTGTTTTTCTTCCTACACTGCACAGTTCATTCCTTTATTATGCAGGTAGTAAGCAAGTAGGAAATGATAAACACTGGGGTCCACATATCTCGCCACATGTGCCTCACATTAGACCACAGAAATACACTTCCAAACTGTAAAGAGAATACTTTGGGGTTTACTATTGAATCTTGACAGGTGCAGGGGTTTGATCAGATGATTGAACTGACCACAGGTGAAGACAGGTGGATACCTTTCTCCAAGTCAGACTATGGAGGCGACTGTCAGGCACTGGTAGCTCACGCCTGTAATCTTAGCAACTCAGGAGGCTGAGATCTGAGGACTGCGGTTCAAAGACAGCCTGGGTAGGATATTCTGAGACTCTTTCTTATCTCCAAAGTGGCACTGTCACTCAAAGTGGTAGAGCACTATCCTTGAGCAAAAAAAACCTCAAGGACGATGCCCAAGCCGAGTTCAAGCCCCATGACCACCATCACCACCACCAACAACAAAAAGAATATGGTAGTCACCACTAGTGGTCACATAATTGAACAGTGCAGAACTGTAGGAAAAAAAAACACAGCGTGATGCCAAAGAATGTTTAGTCATCCCTTCATAAATGGTATTGCAAAAATAATAGGTTTAATTAGGCAAAGTCAACACAAAATCACGTGCTATTTACAGCCTTGGATTTCAGAACTAGGTCAAAGCCAGGAATCAAAATAAATCATTATATAATCACCAAATGCACTGGTTTCCTGAGAAACATCTGTGCAAGAACAAGTGAAAGTTATGTTTGCTTTAGCATTTTAGAAATGTTTTAGAGTCTTGGCTATTTCAGAAACTTACTAGGGATAGCCGGGGCAGCAGGCTTGGGCTCAAAAGTCTGCCAGGTTGAAGAAGCCCCTGAAATGACAAAAATGTAAGTTAATAACAAAATCACAAGCAATGGGTTCAACCGCAACATCTTTTGTGCTCCTTTTTGTCCCCTGGAGAAATCATAAATGAAACTCAATAGAAAGCACCTTACTCAATAGAACAAATACGTTCTAACATGAATCCTTTTCAAGTTGAATTTTTTCCTGAAGTGAATGTCAGTCAAGTGCCTGTGATCTCTAAATGTTTATTCAGACATCCCTCAGCACCTTAACCCTTACTGTTCCAAGAAAAGAGAAACGATAACTCTTTTTCTCCAATACTTTGTGGGGGAGGGGGAGAAATCCAACTGTGAATAATAGTACTAAATCCTCACTGAAACCCCTCAAGCAGGTAAGACTTTTTTTCTATTATTTTTTTTTGGTGGGGAGCAGAACTGGGGTTTGAACTCAGGGCTTTGTGCACTCTTACTACGTGAACCTCTCAACCAGTCCCTTTTTGTTTGGGTTATCTTCAACATGGGATCTTCTTGCTTTATGCCTGGGATTGCCTGGACTGTGATCCTCTTGTTTGGGTTTCCCTTTGTCTCTGTGATGACATGTCTACACCACCATACCCATCCATGGGTTGAGATGGAGGCTGGAGAACTTGAATGCCCAGGCTGGCCTCAATCTTGGTTCTCTATCACTAGAGCCACTTCACCACCCATTTTCACTCTACTTTGTTTTTCAAACAGGATTTTTTTTAAGATCTGGGCCAGCCTAGGATCACAAATTCTCCCATTGTTACCTTCCACATAACTGAGATTACAGGTATGCACCAACATACCTGGTCCAGGCATAGATTTCTTAATCTGAAACATGAAAGAGCTGGAACTGGAATCCCTGGCCAGGAGGCCAAGTGGAAGGCCCACTTCTAAGCTTCCCTTAGGGCTATGGTCTGCCTCTGGCCTAGCTCTTGACCAAGGTAAGATGAGTGAGTTATTATCATTGCTACCGTCAGCAGGATGCACTTACTCCAACATGCTTAGAATTGGGCCTGGATCCCAAACTCCCATCATGGAGATAATACAGCAGGATTGCAGAGTAATTTAGAATAATTAAGGGCTTAATATCAATCCTAATAACTAACACTGATGAGTGTTTGGCAGGTGGGAACCCTTTTTTCATGCTTTAAACCCATTTAATCCCCACAACAAACTCATGAGGCAGTTACTACACAGTTGCCTTCACTGAAGCAGAGATTCACAGTGCTACAAAAAGCTGGAGATGGTTGGTGAACCCAGCCCAGACCCTATACCTTTAATAAGAACTCTGTGTGACACTACATAAATCAAGAGGTTCGTCGGGCATGGTGATACATGCCTGCAGTCGCAGCACTCTGCAGACTTAGGCCGGAAGATTGGGAGTTTGAAGCTACCTGGCAAGCTGGGATACACAGCAAGACCTCATCTCAAAGAAAAAAAAGTAACTTTGAGAGGGGACGGGGAGAGTAAATGGCTACTAAACAGTATCTATGAGCACAACAGACTTCTGGTTTTTGTTTGTTTTTCAAATGAAAACATTTAATAGTTTCAATTTTTTCAAAAAGATTCTTCAGCTCTCTAGGTTATAGCAATAGATATCTCAAGTATTATAACAACAACAACAAAAATCTGTTGGGCGTCAGTGGCTCAGCTTGTAATCCTAGTCACTCATGGGGCTGAGATTTGAGGATTATGGCACAAAGCTGGCCCGGGCAGGAAAGGCTGTGAGACTCATCTCTAATTTACCCACCAGAAACCTGGAAGTGGCGCTGTGATTCAAAGTGGTAGAACACTAGCCTTGAGTGAGAAAAGCTCAGGGACAGCGCCCAAGCCCTAGGTTCAAGCCCCATAACCAACAACAAAACAACAAAACATTCTCCCAAATCCAAAGATCAAGAAGAATGGCATCTTAAGAGGACATGAATCAGCTGGGTCCGTGGAACTGTGTGTAGAGCAGGCAGAGGCCAAGGGGGGGGGCCCTTCCCCCCAGGGCTTAGCCACTTACCTCTGAATTCAGTGATGTTGTTTGATGGTTTACTGGTAAACTCTTTAATCTGCAAAAGAACACGTCTTTAGCAATTCCTGTTTGCACTAGAGAGGGCTGCTTGCTGCATAATGCACACACACAGTTGCTAGCAAATGAACCTCTGTGACCAATCATCCAAAGACAACAGGTACACACACCCCAAAAGCACAAAGGTGTGGGATTCATAAAATGAACATATTGGGGTTCAGCTGCTTCTCAAAGGAATTCCTCCTGGAAGAAATTCTTACCTAACCTCTAATTCGTTCTGAATTCTAACGGAATCAGTCTCTTCCACTTTTAGATTATTATTTTTTTTTTGATGCCAGTCCTTGGGCTTGAACTCAGGGCTTGGATACTGTCCCTGAGGTTTTGTGCTCAAGGCTAGTACTTTACCACTTGAGCCACAGCTCCACTTTTGGCCTCCTGAATTGCTGGGATCACAAGCGTAAGCCACAAGCACCAGCCATGCATTGTCTTTTTTTGTTAGTGGTGGTGGTCTTGGGGCTTGAACCCAGGGCCTGGGTACTATCTCTTAGCTTTTTTTGCTCAAAACTAACACTCTACCACTTTTAAGCCACAACACCACTTTTGATTTTCTGAAGGTTAAATGGAGATAAGGAGTCTCACGGACTTTCCTGCCTGGACTGGCTTTGAATTGAGATCCTCAGACCTCAGCCTCCAGAGTAGCTAGGATTACAGGCGTGAGTCACTGGCTCCTGGGTCATTTATTTAGTGACACTCCGGATTCAATCAGGGCCTCAGTCATGCTGGGCAGGTGCTCTACCACTTGAGGCACACCTCCAGCCCTTTTTGTTTCAGTTCATGCTTTAGACAGGGTCTTACCATTTTGCCTGACCTCAGACTGAAATCATCCTATCTTTACCTCCCAAGTAGCTGGGATTACAGGTGTGAACAACCACCATGCCTGGCTGCTGCTGCTTCATCTTCTTTTTTGTTTTGGGGGTTTGTTGTTGTTGTTGACATAGGATTTCATTCACATTTTGCCCTGACTGGCCTCAAACCATAATCTTCCCAACCTCTGCCTCCCTGAATAGCTGGGATTATAGCTGTGTTGCCATCTCTATTTTATTGCATTTGTAAGCAATTACAAGGAGAAAAAAAAATCTCCCATCTTTTTCTAATCCTATATAAGTGACAGATACTCTAAAATAAAAAGTCCACGTTCTCAGGGGAACCGCGTGGCTTAGTGAAACGCAGTGCCCAGGTTCTCAGCAGCCATACCTGCTGCCTCTGAGTGATGATCAGCTCATTCTGCTCCTGCAGTCTCTGGCCCAACTCTTCTATCCTTTTCTTGTAGAATGCATTACTTGCATTTAGATCATCTATCATTGAGGTTCGAAGTTTCTCTATATGTGACAGCAGCTGGCAAAATAAATAAATAAAAATTAATAAAGGCATTCGTGAACAGGCTACATGTGCCATGTCTTTTTCTCTTGCCCCCTGCCATAGATTTTATATGCATTCCTTGCTTGATGGCTTTGCTGGTCTTGTGTAGTCCTTACATATCAGGTTAGCGAATGACTACTCTGACCACAGACTACCAAGGGCCTCGCTACCCTAGATGTGCGTGTCTCCTGAGGAAGCTCATGACCCAAGAGAGACAACATCATGCCACGGGTAGCTGAGCCAGCCTGTGTCCGTCACCGGAACGATGCATGCATGAGCAGCAGTGCAGCCTGAAAATGCCCCCCCCAGAGCTCCCACACCTCCACGCAAATCTGACCATGCCCACTGGCCTGAGCATGGCTCCTGTGTCAGCCCCGCTCAAATGCCTATTCTCTGGACCAGAAAATGTAGTGGACTTTTTATTTTTTACATTCCCATCAATCAGCACAATCCCTGGTTCCTAGCAGGTTAAGTGGGGGGAAGGAATGAGCTGAGGGAAAGAAGTAAAGAGAGAGGAAGGAAGGAAAAAAAGAAAATGAGAAATACCTAGGTATAGGTGGCTCATGCCTGTAATCCTAGCTACTCAGGAGGGTGAGATCTGAAGATTGCAGTTCCAAGACCAGGCAGAAAAGTCCCTGTGAGATTCTTATCTCCAATAAACCACTCAAAAACTAGAAGAGGAGCTGTGGCTCCAAGTGGTGGAGTACTAGCCTTGAGCAAAAGAGCTCAGGGACAGTGTCTAAGCCCTGAGTTTAAGCCCCACAACCAGCCAAAAAAAAAAAAAGAGAGAGAGATGAGAATTGCATATACAGATTCATCTTTGTAAACAGTGTTATGAAAGATCATGTTCTGGATAAACAAATTCAAGAATTTGCTTTCAATAATTTAGGGAATGGCTCATAATGCAATTTCAGTAATTGTTCAATCAGAGGGGTATTTTTGTATTTGAAAAGGTAACCTGGTGCCAGTGGCTCACGCTTGTAATACTAGCCACTCAAGAGGCTGAGATCTAAGGATCACAGTTTGAAGTTAGTCCAGGCAGGAAAATCCTTGAGCCTCTTATCTCCAAGTAAGCACCAAAAAAGCCATAAGTAAAGCTCTGGTTCAAGTGGTAGAGTGCTAGCCTTGAGCAAAAAATGCTCAGGGACAGTGTCCAGGCTCTGAGTTCATGTCCCAGGACTGGCACAAACAAACACACATACTCACTCTCTCTCACACACAGACACATACACACACACCAGTTTAAATATATA